TGAGCCTAGCAATTATTTATTACAATTACTTATATAGCGCTGCCAATTTACGCAGTGCTTTACACGTGTGTGTGTGTGTGTGTGTGTGTGTGTGTGTGTGTGTATATATATATATATCAGGGTGGATTTGATTTAAATCAAACTGATTTAAATCACAATTTAAATTACAATTTAAATCACTAGTCAGTAAGGCTTGATTTAAATCCTAGTTTTCTACATAAAGACTAATTCTGGCTGGTATAACTTTAATATGCAAGTAGATGAAGATTTTTAGAATAACTTTTCACATTAGTTTTTTTATCCCCAGTTTAATGGGTTAATCATTCATATTTGGACAACGTTTCTGTTGTACTTAGGAAGGAGAAAAATAATCATTACCTTAATAATAACAATTTAAATAGATTTATTCAACTGAAACAATAACATTCCAGCATATGTGATTTGCTTAAACAAACATCCATGTTTGGTAACTAATTTGGCTAAACAAAATATATATATTTTAAGAAACGTAGACTGTCAGCCCCTTCCTCCTCACACTTAGTTTCACTTTGTTCTTGTGCAGATCTATTCCACTCCAAACAATCAGAAAAATATTGTTTCTATTCTGTTCACGGAACTTCTTGAAACTCGGCACTGAAGGGGTTGATTCTGTATTCATAGGTTTGTAGAAGTTAGGATGAAGGTCTTTTTCTTAACTCTGTTCATGTTATAACATTTTTGCTGTGAAGAAGAGGCATGTGATCTCCGCTGAGTCAAATTCAAACACCAAGAATCTGTGATAATATCTTGTAGGCAGAGAAACTGCCCAATAATCTTACAAAAACCTCTGGAAGAGCATGACATTGTGAATGGATTCATGGAATTTATTTACCAAAACAATTAAACATATACAGCCTTATTCTACAATAACTAATCTTTATTTCATGATGGAATAACCTTTGGATGGTAATATATTTTCCTCAAAAAGCATTTTATTCAAAAAAATCCGATTTAAATAAAAAAAATCCGATTTTTTTTTGATTTTTTAAAAAAAAATCATTGATTTTTATCCACCCTGATATATATACATATATAACATTCACATCAGTCCCTAACCCTCAAAGGGTGTACTTAACTCCCTAACTCACATTCATACATACACATACTAGGGCCAATTTAGACAGGATGCAATTAACCTTCCAGCATGACTTAGGAGTGTGGGAGGAAACCAAAGTAACCAAACAAAGTGCAGCGCTAAAAAAATAATAAAATGATAATATATGTATAATAAATATATCTCCAAAAGGTGAATAGTTCGTATAGTATATAATTGTGATGATGACCTCTGGACCCAGCAGATTTCCACAATTTCCCAAGACTTGATGACCAACCCATAGAAGGGAGCTCACCCATTCATTCCGCCTACTTAAGAGATCCTGGTGGTTATTGATTATATGCGCTTTATCCATGCGCTTCCGGTGAGTGCGCAATTCTATTACTGGTTCCTGTCACAAGCCTGTTTTTGAAATCTGCTGCTGAAGTGGATCATCACAATGATATACTATACGAACTATTCACCTTTTGGAGATATATTTATTATATATTTATTATACATATATTATCATTTTATTATTTTTTTTAGCACTGCACTTTATTTATTTGGTTATATTTGAAGGTTTACTGTGATTGCCTTTTAGTGTTTCAGCTGCTGACATAAGAGCGCTCACTTTTATTTATTATATTGAGGAAACCAGAGTACCCGGAGGAAACCCACACAGACACATGGAGAACATGCAAACTCCATGCAGGTGGTGCCGTGCTTGGGATTCGAACCAACGAATGCCAGGCAGAAGTGCTAACCATTTAGCCGCTGTACTGCCCCCAATTGACGGTAATGTAACAGTTGCCCGTTTGTAGCCCCTCTATTGTCAGGCAATAAAATAAACTCTGGTTAGGCTTGCATAGAGATTTAAACCAAAAAAAAAAAAAAAAAAATCCTGTTTCAGATTGGATATCCCATTACTGAATACAATTCAGACACTGACATTAGTTAAAGATGTGCCATTTCTCAACGGAGGAGCGGAGTAATTTGACAGGTTACTGGTTACTGTAAAAGCTATTTAACAAAGTGACATGTCTGGCAGGCACATTGCGCTGTACCGCGTGTCACGACCTATAAGGGAAGAATGTAGTCAAAGTTTTATCTTATAAATGGAGCGATACTTCATGTCACTTTGCCTTATAAATGACGGTATGCACACATGAATATGTATGACATGGAGGAGGCTGGGGTCGGGGAATCTGCATACCGTGCTTGTAATGCTCAGCCACATGTGCCTAATTGTGCCGTCGCTGAACTCTGAAGAAGCGGTGTGTGTGCGCGCGTGCGTGTGTGTGGAGAGTTATAATTGTTTTTTGTACAATTACAGCAATTTTGGCATTATGATTATTATCTTGTACAGGAAGCTTAGAAGGATGTTATTTCTGCCGGATAAAATTGCAGCAACTATTTTTTTCTTTAGAGTGGCACACCAGGCATAAAAAGTCAATTACTATGGCTGCTTCACAGTGAAGTCTGGGATCCCCATTCTGTGAGCTGGGAGAGGCTAAAGTCCACCCTTTAAGGCGACGTTCACATTAATTATTTATTTATTTATTACAGGTATTTGTATAGCGCCGTCAATTTACGCAGTGCTTTACATACCGTATATATCGTACATTCACATCAGTCCCTAACTCTCAAGGGGCGTACAATCTAAGGTCCCTAAGGGCTCATATACACTGCAGCTGATAAACTGACATTCAGGAGCTGTTCAGCATTTTTTTCAGCAGCCCCTGAACTCTCCCTTATGTTTTCCTATGTATCCATGTACACTATGTTGTTTACAGTAAGTTATTATTATTATTATTATACAGGATTTATATAGCGCCAACAGTTTGCTCAGCGCTGTACAATATAACGGGAGACAATACAAACAATACAGTTCAGTGCAAGAGGGTTAGGAGGGCCTGATCCTGGGAGCTTACAGTCTAGTTGAGTTTACAGTAGTTTTTTTGAACGCACCAAACTTGCATTCAGGAGTAGATTTTACCGGCGTTTCACGCGTGTAAACACTTGTAAACGCAGTTAACCGCATTTATAAGCGTTTGCGTTTAGAAGCGTTTTTTAACTGTTCCATATCCAGATGCTGTCCAGAGCCTTTTTTCATCATCTGAAATGCATGCAAAGCATTTTCCATGTATTCCAATGGACCCGGTACACCTGTGCAGTCAGTTCCAGGTTTCGTGTGAAGGAAAACATTGTAGAACGTGTTGCATTATGCTCATGATGGGATCCATAGTGAATACAACCAGAAAAGACAGGTCATCTCAACAAATACTGCTCTCTCTGCTTCTGCTCTCTCTATTTCTCTCAAAATGTCTGAAATAGTTAATTATTTACTATTTTTCAGTGCATTCTGGGCATTTTGGAAGGTCTCCTGAGGTTATCTTTTAAAAATGCTTCTAAACGCAAACGCACATAAACCCGATATGCAAACGCAGCTAAACTGATGTTTTTTAACCTACGTTTTCCAGTAGTCAGTTTCCATCGTTTAGAAGAGTTTTTCAAACGCCCCGGTACATGAGCCCTAATTCACATTCATACCTACACATACTAGGGCCAATGAAGACAGGAGTCAGTTAACCTACTGGCATGTCTTTGGAGTATGGGAGGAAACCGGAATACCCAGAGGAAACCCACGCAGACACAGGGAGAACATGCAAACATCTATGCAAGTTGCAGTTGATGCGTTTTTCTCACATTCATACATACACATACTAGGGCCAATGAAGACAGGAGTCAGTTAACCCACTGGCATGTCTTTGGAGTATTGGAGGAAACCGGAGTACCCAGAGGAAACCCACGCAGGCACAGGGAGAACATGCAAACATCTATGCAAGTTGCAGTTGATGCGTTTTTCTCACATTCATACATACACATACTAGGGCCAATGAAGACAGGAGTCAGTTAACCTACTGGCATGTCTTTGGAGTATTGGAGGAAACCGGAGTACCCAGAGGAAACCCACGCAGGCACAGGGAGAACATGCAAACATCTATGCAAGTTGCAGTTGATGCGTTTTTCTGGTGCGTTCTGCATTTTAGAACATGTGGTTTTGTCATGTTTAGCATTTTTTTTTTTCATTGCTAATAGGAAATTATGATGGTTCTGTTCATGTAGTGCGACTTTGATGCAACTTTACACTCTCTCTGTAAAATGGTTGTAAAGGCTTGAGGCTTTTTACCTTAAAGGATAAGTTCACCTTTTGAACTTTTTGCAGATAAAAAAAATGTGCATTTTTTATTTTTGTCCAAAGGAGCCTGTAAAGCATTGCACCAGTGATCAGTAGATGTCTGATGCCATGCAGGTCTCCTGCAGACCTGTCAGTATATCTGCTTGCCGTACGGGATGTATGACCAAGCAGATATTCTGACAGGAAGCTTCAATCAACTACCATGGTGCTCCGCAGCGCCGTACTATTTCATTGAACACTACAAGCCCGCAGCCGCTAAGGCTGCTGGGACTTGTAGGCTCTCATTCACAGTGAATGAGTGACGCGGCCATGCGGGTGGAGCCCCGCACAGCCATTCTGTTTTCAAATCTGACAGCTAGTACAGGGAACTTCTCCCCATATTATCTGTCAGAGGGAAGGGGGGGGGGGGCATCAGGCGCAGCTGCAGCTATGGGAGCATGTTACATGTTTCACCCTATAAACATGAAGAACATGTAACATGTTCCAAAGGTGAACTTATCCTTTCGAACCAATCCCCAGGAGTCCGAGAGGAATGTGATGTAGTAGGATTGCTTCAGCCGTCACTCTGGTCACACCCACTGTCACGTTTCACCAAGACCAAGCCCCCTACAGGCGGGTGAAATGCGTCAGTGGGAGTGGCCAGAGTGACGGCTGAGGCCATCCTACTACATCTTGTTCCTCTCTGACTCCTGGGGATCTGTTCGAGTGGTGTCCAACCCAGGGGCGGACTGCCAACTCATGGGGCTCCCGGGCAATAGGGGATCATAGTGTCCTTGCCCAAACTCAAAAAAGCCTATGAAAAAGGTACCAGGGGCATCTCATGGGGCCCCCTACTGACCCCGGGCCCTCGGGCAGTGCCGGGGTTTCCAAATGGTCAGTCCGCTCCTAGTCCAACCTCATCTTATGCTGCTAAGGTTCTGGAGTTACTTGGGACTCTGCTCCCATCTTCTTTTCTCTGCTGGTGGGGTGATGTTTGTTTGCTATCAGCCTTGAGCGGTGCCAGAAGTACACCCATGGTTCTGAACTTATCCTTTAACGCATTCTATGCATGAAGGTAAAAACCTTGTGTGTGCAGCAGTGCCCCCAGCCCCCTCAATACTTATCTGAACTCCACCAAGATCCAGCGATGTGCAGTACAGCCTCGGCTGTCCTGGGTCTCTGCCTCCTCATTGGATGAGACAGCAAGCTGGAGCCATTGGCTCGCACTGTTGTCAATTACAGCCAGTCAGCCAATAAACATTGGTGGGGGGGGGGGGGGGCGGACCAGGCCGCTGCACAGAGCAGCTGGTGCCCCCATAGCAAGCTGCTTGCTTTGGGGGCACCTGACAGAAAGAAGGAGCCAGGAGAACTTGCTGAGGATCCAGGCTGCTCTGTACAAAACCACTGCAAACAGCAGGAAAGTATAGACATGTTTGTTATTTTACAAAAAAAAAAAAAATGAGCACTTAGTATCGCTTTAAAGTAGCATTAAAGAAGTGCAGGAACCTTTATGTGACCAAAGTTGTGCGAAGTATGGCAATCTGCATTGCAATACATTCAGTGGAGCACAGAGGAGACATGCAGGATCTTTTAGACCCTGCATGTCTCATTAAAGAGCACCTGTCACCTAAAAACCATCGCGTAGGGGACTTTTTGTTCCCTATGTGATGCAAAAAAACATTTTTGAAATTGCAAAGAATTTAAGTTACACCCAAGCACATAAAATCTCCCCCCTCCCTGCAAAAATTTTTTTAGAGGCCCCCATCCCCACATATATGCACTTACATATGTAAACCCATGCGTTGGGGGATTCCTACGCATGAAAACGTCGATTGTGATACACATGTTACATATCACCGCACACGCTGAAGTGCAATAATTTTAGTACAAGAGCTCCTCCATAATGCTAAACTGGTGACCTATAGGGGGTTTTTGAAGCATCACCTATAGAAAATATGGGGTACTGAAGATTGTTGCTACAGTGCCTTGAAAAAGTATTCATACCCCTTGAAATTTTCCACATTTTGTCATGTGACAACCAAAAACATAAATGTATTTTGTTGGGAGTTTATATGATAGATGATGGAAGGAAAATGAGAAATCTGAAAAGTGTGGCGTGCATTTGTATTCAGCCCCCTTTACTCTGATACCCCTAACTAAAATCTAGTGGAACCAACTGTCAAAAATCACCTAATTAGTACATAGAGTCCACCTGGGTGTATAATTTAATCTCAGTATGTACAACTTTTCAAGGGGTAGGAATACTTTTTCAGGCACTGTATTTAACGGGTGCACACAAATTTAAGGTTTGGCATGTTGGGCATCTATTTACTCGGTGCAATCTCATCTTTTATATTTTACCATAAATCTGGGTAATTTATTGCTTTTGTTTGCCCTGAAGCTGCTTGCTCTGGGGGCACTCTTGCATGCCCGCTCCCGAGCCAAGCTCGTTGTGTCCGTAAGACATTCTCACCCCTTTCCTTATATAGCTATTGACAGCTTGGGGAGCTGTTGTTTGGGTAGTGTGTGTCCATAAGACACATAGAGCGTGGCTCATCCCTGCCCCCTGTTAACCTCCTCGCTGGCTGTGATTGACAGCAGTGGTAGCCACTGCCGTGTCTGAGCCAATGGGGGGATAGACCCGGAAGAGCCTCTGCTCTCATGCACAACGCTGGATCGAGTTTGGGCTCAGGTAGGTATACGGGGGGGAGCTGCACACTGAAGGTTTTTTTGTATTTGCATGACGGTACAAAAAAATGTGAGCCTCTAGAACCACTTAAACTCAAAAAGTCCCTTCTATTGCTCTCAGTCTCCTCTAAATCTCCAAATTCCTTATTTCTTTTGCAGCTGTGATCCAGTTTTCTGTTAGAGGGTGACTCCATTTGTTCTTTATGGCCCCACTCTCAGTAGGAACATAGCTACCCTCTCTTGCTAGCTGCCCAACATTTACAAGGGACAATGGGCTTTGTAGTGTGCATAGAGCAGTGCATATGGCCACAGCTAACACGCACAGCTCATTCCAAACAAATGAAAGTGAGGGGGAAAAGGAGAGGTTTGGGAGCTCATGGAGGATGTTGCAAACAAACCACAGTGAGAAACTGTTTAATGAAAAATATTACAGGACCATTTGTGTATGGATTATTTTGGAGAATAAAGATATCTTTTAGTGTTGCTTTATATCGCCTTTATATTGTGTGCCTTTTCTGCCATTCCAGTTTTTCTCGTTTTGATATTAAAGCAGAGCTCCAGTTGATTAAAAAAAAAAAGTCCGCAGCTGACTTTTAAAATACAGCCACTTACTGTACCTGTCCTTCAGTCCAGCGGTGTCCTCACCACCGCTGGTTTCACCAACCATCCTCTCCTGGCGTCGGCATCTTCAGTGTGGGCACCCAGCTGAGACAGCTTGCGGCTTCACAGCCGGGTGCCCACTGCCCATGAGCGAGAAGCGCTGTGCTTTGTGAATGGCCCTGTAGTCTTCTGGGACCTGTCACGTGTCCCAGAAGACTACAGGGGGGAGGAAAACTTCCGCTTCCGATCACCTTAGGCGATCGCAGTGGAAGTGGGAGCGGGTAATTGTCAAATTCAGGTTCCCGTTCCCCAAAGGTGCCAATCCTTAACCCCTTTGCGCCAGCGCCTCCCGGCCCTTTCAGAGGTTTCAGAAGCCGGGAGGTGATGTGGGGTTTTAGGGTCATATGACCGCCGTGATTCACTGTCACGGCGGACACATAATCAGAAAAGGTCCCGATCGCAAGGGAAGATCGGGACCTTTCCATGAGACACAGACATATATGCTGGGAGCATGCAGGGCGCGCTCTCTCAGCACATATGTATTTTTAAAATGGTAATTTGTGTGTGCTCAGCATCTAGGGGTTAACGGGGAACTGGGGACAATGCATTAAAGTGGAACTTCCCCTTTTGGGTGGAGCTCCGCTTTAAAGTGTTACTAAACCCACAACAGGAAAATCAGTCTGTATATGCAGTAAAGCATGCTTGTTACACCCACTGTGGAACCTAAGGGGTTAATCCTCTGCATTGTGTAAAAAGGCTGTTTTGATCCTGACTTCTCTGATCCTCCCACTCTTTATTTGTCCCCAATCCATCTGCTGAAAGCACAGAGCTCTAAGAGGCATTCTGCACTTGCTCAGTTTAGTATGTATTGCTAGAGAGGTTTTTTTTTTTCTTTTTTTCTGGAAGGGTGCATGTGATCAGCACAGGGGCCAATTAATGCTGTCCAGACTGAGGGTCAGGGGTCATGCAGCCTCATAGGACAGTCAAAGGAGAATGAAAATTCATCCTACAGAGTTAACCAGTGCTCAGTGATTGAAGTCACAAGACTGCTCTAACTGCTGATGAGAAAAGGTATTTAGCAGTTTATATTTACTAAAAATAATTGCATTTCCATGTTTTGTGTACTGTGGGAGAGCAGATATAGTGAATGCAGGGTCCTGGGTTTAGTGGCTAATTTTAGAGTCTTACATCTCCTGTGTATTTCACAGCTGTGCTTTGCTCCAGTTCTCCTACTTTTATGTATATTTAGCTCTTCTATATATGAGCTGAAAAGGCTGTCCATTCAGGAGAAAAAAATAGCATGCTTAATCCGTCAAACATGTTCTTCTGCGAACGCTGATTATATATATCTAAGGGCCACTTGTTACTGGCTTCTCTTTTCACAGGCCAACAGTTGTCCTTTTGCTTGTCCAGATTTGCATATTTTTGCAGAAGATGGATAAAAGACACGTGGCCTAGGCAGAAATAATAGATATAGACCTAGCATGACAACAATATACGGTAGGGGCAGTTTTGGTGTGAAATGTTGGCCAATTGGTATCTTAAAAGCTAACTCCACTTTCAAAGAAAAAATATGGCACATATAAAAACAATAATATAGCATAAACAATTGCTACACAATTGTACTAAATGTTATTAAAAATGACCTTTCCTCTTCAATCTGCAGCTGCTCTAATTTTTTGTAAAATTGCAATATGGCAACCTGGAGGGGTTCTATACACTGGTGTACGGAACACCCCCAGAAATGTAATTTCCTGCTTGTGTGATTAGCTCACTGATATTCCCTAAAGTCTGCACCAAGATAAAAGTCAGGTTTTAGGGCATCCCCTGGGGGCCAAATCTAGCCTGACTCGTGGGTTTCAGTTAAAAAAAAAAAAAAAAAGTGAGGGGGGCAGGGGATGGGAGGTCAGCAGGGCGGAGGACAGGGGTCCGTGCTGGCAGGGCGGAGGACAGGGGTCCGTGCTGGCAGGGCGGAGGACAGGGGTCCGTGCTGGCAGGGCGGAGGACAGGGGTCCGTGCTGGCAGGGCGGGAGGACAGGGGTCCGTGCTGGCAGGGCGGAGGACAGGGGTCTCTGCTGGCAGGGCGGAGGACAGGGGTCTCTGCTGGCAGGGCGGAGGACAGGGGTCTCTGCTGGCAGGGCGGAGGACAGGGGTCTCTGCTGGCAGGGCGGAGGACAGGGGTCTCTGCTGGCAGGGCGGAGGACAGGGGTCTCTGCTGGCAGGGCGGAGGACAGGGGTCTCTGCTGGCAGGGCAGAGGACAGGGGCTGGCAGGGCGGAGGACAGGGGCTGGCAGGGCGGAGGACAGGGCTGGCAGGGCGGAGGACAGGGGTCTGTGCCGGCAGGGCATAGGACAGGGGTCTGTGCCGGCAGGGCAGAGGACAGTGGTCAGTGCCGGCAGGGCAGAGGACAGTGGTCAGTGCCGGCAGGGCAGAGGACAGTGGTCAGTGCCGGCAGGGCAGAGGACAGTGGTCAGTGCCGGCAGGGCAGAGGACAGGGGCT